AGATGGCAGCGCAAGGAGAAGACGGTGGATCAGCAGAAGCTATCTATGCCGGGAGAGAGAAAATCAAGATCACTCATTTCTTTGATTGCCTTCAAGACGTTGTCCGTTTCTAAAAACTTCTCATTTCCTTCTTCTAGAGCTTTTGAAAACAAATTGGTTGGTATTTTAACGCTTTGGATTTTATTTTATTTTTGGTTGAGGAATAAAACTGAAGAGAGTGCCCTTGTGTTGATGCAATCTTCTTTTTGAAACATTTTTTTGGTGAGTGAAACAATGTTCTTTTTGAATTTATAAATTACAAATTCGTGGTTTTTTTCTCATATCGAAACTTTAGCGATATAAGTAATTAAATTAGGTTAGGCTACAATAATAGCAAAGGAGAACACAGAAGGAGTTGCTCTCATCAAAACAATAATGTCACCCACAGACCAAGAAGGGACATAAAGCCCACAAACGGTAGCAATTGAACACCATATGATATGAGCCATCTGAATGACTGGACTATAATTTCCAACTCGATATGATGGTTCATTTCTCTCCTTAGTGTAGTTTCCGGGTCATCTCCTTGACCATTGGTGTGCCATTTTGTGGTGTGCTCGTCTATCTTCCAAACCCGTCAGCCACCATGAGATTTTAAATAACTAAAAGTATCGACTTAACCTTGATAACATCTTTTTTAACCTACATTTATGATGAATGCCTTGTCCTATATGTTTTGCTTACTCGTGGTATCCAAACCTTGCTAAAACATAACATGGTCGCAACATCTTTTAAGAAGATTTAGCATTGTGGAATCAGATTTGGAGTTGGAAGCTGCTCATTTGCATAAGAGTTATAAACAAATTTTGAATCTCCATAGATTAAAAGTTTTAGTTTACAACTTAAACACAACAATACATGAATTTTTAACATGTGTTTGTAAAATATTTGTCTATTTATAAACATATACAATCAAATATTCATTCTTGAATGTCAAAAATTCCAATTGACTATGTTTGTGAGAAAAAAAAACTAAGGATTTTTACGGATTGCCTGCGTGGTTAATTTGTGTATCTATCTCCTAACAAGTAACAATTATACATATTTTTTTAAGAAATGTACAAAATAGTTAGAAGTTTTGTCTGTTATCGCCCAGTTAGGAGATTTATACCTGAGTTGTTCAAAAAGAAAAGGAGATTTATACCTGCAAGAAAGCTAAATGACAAACGTGAGCTCAACAAATATGAAGAATCTTAGTCTGTATAATTAAAATATACATGCAGTAACAGTTGGCTATCGCTCTATACAACTGTGGTCTAATCTACCCCACATTAATTCCCAATCCCAGATAATAAATATATACTTTATATATAACTTCATGTTAATCCCCTATATATTATTTGAGAATCATTTAAAAAGTTGTAACCTTAAGTTTGTAAGAATTAAAAATAATCCCAATCCTACGTGGCATAGCTCTTTGACTTCTATTTCAAATCCCAAAGATTCTAGAGCATGTGATATAATGTATAGTTTAAAATTATATTTTCTAGCAATATAATATTCCGTAGGCTATAGTTGGTCGCATATATCAAATATTTATTGTTTCGCATGCTTTCCTTAAATAAAACCTACGGAATTACCTAATATGATCAAAAAATATATATGAAAATTAATGATTTTAAACAATAAAGATTTGATAACAATCTGTATACTTTTTCATTTTTTTATTTCTTTATTATTAAAATAAATTACACAATTACATGAATCATATAATAAAAATCTAGATTATTTTTTTGTGTATGTTGTATTTCGAATTTTTCAAAATGAGAATAAATTACTAAAACTGTTAAAAGTCCCAGATAAACTTTTAAGATCAAGGTTTTAATTTTTTTTTCTATACTAAAATATAATGATTATAAGACCATATGAAGAAATAATTTTAGTTTATATATATTTAATATCATTTTAATTAAACTATACATCGTATGAAAATACATACTTATATTTTGATATTTGCCTTGAACATATATTGAAAAGTTAATATTTTAATTTTGAAATNTCAAGGTTTTAATTTTTTTTTCTATACTAAAATATAATGATTATAAGACCATATGAAGAAATAATTTTAGTTTATATATATTTAATATCATTTTAATTAAACTATACATCGTATGAAAATACATACTTATATTTTGATATTTGCCTTGAACATATATTGAAAAGTTAATATTTTAATTTTGAAATATGTCATTGTTTTTTTTTTAAATGATTCTAAATTATTGAACTACTAAACATCTCACATTAAAAAAAAATTCGTTGGTGTAAAGTTTTGTTACACAAATATGCAAATAATCATAAAATCATATGAGTAGAAACCTCATTTAATTAATATCCATATTAAAAGTGTGTTATATTACTATGTTTATATCATTTAAATTTAATTATATATCATATACAATATATAGATTGGTTATTTTGATTTATTTACCCTAATTATGAATAAACAAGAGTAATAGTTAAATTTATATGCATATGCCAATTTCTTACATAATAGTAACTGATTTCTTAGTTATTTTATATATATTTATTATTTTATTATTTATAATATGCAGAAAAATATAAAATAAATAATAAATATAAAATACTTATTGTGCATAAAGTGCAAATCTTAACCTAAGTATGTATCTTTTTAATTATTTTAAATCATAAGTATTTTCTAAAACAAACGAAATGAGAATAAAATTCAAAATAAATATTTATATTGAGTAATAAACAAAATTAAAAAAAAAACATAGCAAGAGAAAAATGGAAGATAAATAGGACTGGCACGTGAACGTAAACTTCTCATAACCATAAATAATTTTTAAATTGTTAAATCATGATATAAAACTTAGTTAATTTTTAATTTGTTAATTTTTTAATTTTTTAAATCATTATGGTTATGTTAAATCATGACCATAATTAATTTTAAATTATTTATTTGTATTTGAAAAACTTAAAATATTGTTGTTAAAAATAATTTAAAATTTAACATAATTTTTTATAAATTATTTTAAAAAATAATAATTTTTAAAAAATATAATTTTCAAATATTATTAGACAGATAAATAAATTATATTAAATTAGTTTTGATACTTTATATATTTTAAATGAAAATATTTTACCAATTACTTCTTAAAAAACATTAGGGAACTTGCTAATACTCTACCAATCAAGCCCAGTGACACTCCATTTATTTTTCATCACTCGAACACTGAAAAGTGAAAAGATATATGGAATCAGATCCATTAAATTCTAAGATTTGATCTACATTTCTAATTAAAATTGTTTCTGATCCTACGTATAGATAATTATATAAAAATTCCAAAATTCTTAAATTTCAAATACCTACAAAAACAATCATATGTAAATTTTAAATTTGTCAATACTAAAATTTTATATTTTAATTATATACTAGATCTTGACCCGCGCACCGGCGCGGGTTTAACTTAATTTGAGAAAATGTAATAAATTCAGAACTCATCGATTATTAATGTGTTTAAGATATTGTGATCCACGTTGTATGTGAACTATCATATTGAATATAATAGGACTGGGTTGTGATTTTCGGTTCAGCTTTTATTAGGTTCTTTACGTTCTTAGTTTTTTTAGTTCTAGAAACATAGAAACTGTTTGTTTATCTATATAAATTTATTTGTGTCCGGTTCAATTTTTCGAACCAAAAAATTCGACNAACGAATATTCTTAAATATTGTTAGTGACTAAAATTAATTATATTTACGATTTTAAATAAATAGCAAATCTTTGTAACAATAAATACCAGATCTTATTAAATATTGATATCTATGTTTCCAAACTTACTTATTTTAAATACTGCTATCCATGTTTCCAAACAAAAGGTTAAAGTACTTCTACTTTAATAAGATAGATATTCACCCTGCGCTCTTATCCTAGTTCCTTATGAAACTAACTTCTAGTTGCTAGTTAACTGGTGACTTATCAAATATTAACTCCTCATACTACGTGTCATATTTATACAGACCAACTAATCATTAATTACTGGTCATATCGCATCTTGAAACATTCCTATATTATAATTTTTTATTTAACCACATATATATATGTGTGTATATGTATGTGTAGATGCCTTTTCATGGTGATCCACTTACATATGCTCTTACCTTAAGCCTGATTGAGTCTCCATCTTCTTCTTCCTTCTTCCCCTGGCCTTCACCATCTTCTCTCTTTTGAACTCTTTTTTTTTTTTGCATAATTTCTCACGAAATTATGTTTTATCATTAAGATTCTTTTTGTTCATAATATGTCTTGTGATTTATCAAGAGAGGCTTCTACAAAAGATGAGAGAAACATAGAATCGAAAGAGAGGCTGTTTCTCTATTCTTCTACTTTTGCTTTTATCATTTTTTATCCAACAAATCTCTAAGATTACAGGTAAATTTCTACTAAGTCATGCATCTACTACTTTTTGTAAACATTAAACAAAACAGCCACTGCTCTGTTTAGTCCTCATATTTAAGCATTTGTAATTTTGTATATATGATGATCGACTTAGCAAATCATTCATTTTGAATTCAAATACTGTCAAATTATAATACAAGCATCAATGTGTTTTTTATAAAGTTTAGTTTTGATGCTCGAGATCTTACAATAAAAGCTGTAGTAACAAAAGGCACTGATTCCAATCTTGTTCCACGAAAAACCTTATTCATGTGCACATGCATTCGGTACTCTTTTTTACTTTATGATCTTTTCCGACTTCATTGTTTCTTTCTTTTGTATATATGAATGTATGATTGATTAGTCAATACTAAATACTGAAACCTTCAAGCATTTGCTAACAAAAGAAAACTTTGAAGTCGGAGAGATGAGATTGTTTGCTGGGTTTCTTCAATCTTCAATCTCCAATCTTCACATCAAAAAGAATATCATTTTCAGGTAATCGAGTTTACAAAACAATACCAAGACAATATTTTTGTCAGTGCTTTTGTGATCTCGTCTCCATGGCAATCAAAATGAAGGGCATCTACAAAGGCTTCAAATGTATCTCTCAAATATTTGGTAATCTTTCACATTTTCTTCTTCATATACTATCTTATTTTAGTGTCTCCTCGTGCTAATACTACTTGAACAAATAGTATGCGTCAACATAATGCTTTTTTATGTAGCAAGAACATTTGGTCACTTACACCTAATGTCTATATTACATATAATATTTTCGTCAACATCGTTTTTCTTATTTAGCTATGAATTTTAATCACTTATACATAAAATACTTTGTTTCATCTAAGTATTAGTTTTAAGGGAATTTCCTTATGTTCAAATAAAACTAATCAGTACATTATGAAGTGAAACGCATTACTATTTTTTCAGCCGGGGAGAAAGAGAGTGATGAAATAGAAATTGGGTATCCAACAAATGTAAAACATGTCTCTCATATTGGCTGGGAGGGTTCATCTAGTAGTGGTCCTGGTTGGGTAAGTTCTTTAGTTGTTTCATTTTTTTTTGAATAATACATATGTGAAAATTAAAGGTATACTAATAAGTAAGACCTGCTATGTAATTTATAGTTAATCTATGAATTTTTATTTATTTATTGTGAAGATGAGTGAGTTCAAAGTTGGAGCTGAGGTTTTGTCTCCAAGAGCATCATCGTTTAGTAATGCAAGACCTTCTACTTCTTTTTTCACCTCTTCTTCAACTGGTAAGTTCTTTTAACCGGCTTTTTCTCTTCAATGAAAAATTGGTCATCTAATGTCTTTGTAAGCATCGTCTTAATTAAAGTATACTAGTGTACTAGATAGTTACATTTACGTTGTTTTCATATATGCAGATTTTGATCAAGGATCGAGCAAACGAACAATATCTGATACACTAAGAGATGTACCTCCAGTTACTCCAGTAAATTTACCCAAACATAACAACAAGAAAAGTGGTAGAAGAAAGAAGTCAGCTTCATCATCATCATCTCCAACATCTTCAAGATCATCTATTTTTTCTAAATCTTCGTATAAATCAACTGTATCCCAACTAATTTAAAACATATAAGAGTAGGTGCAAGAAAACAAAAAAATCAAAAGTTTGATCGTCATTGTGCATACTGAAAAGGGGATATTATTATTTCTGATATTGAAATTTTCCATATATGTAGACATATTGTAGTGTTTGGAGTTTGTTGGTTTTATGTAAATAAAAAATAGGATAACAAAAAGAAAAACCAAGAAATTCTGACACGTTGTACACACCTTTACTCTCGATAAAATGATTCTTCCTTCGACATTGAATCATCTATATTATAAATGTTGAGTTTTAAAACTCCTCAACACACCACTTCAACATCAGGTAAGTCCCACTTAAAAAAAAAAAAAGTAAAAAATATCCATGATTCAAACCCGGATTAATAAGATACAAACGCTAACATTTATACCACTAAACTAAAAGATAACTTGTATATTGATGGCCGAAACTAATATATATATTTACGAAAGTTGGAAGTCCTTACTTTTTTGGCTTTCTTTGAGGATCAGATCTTCAAGTGTATTATGGATTTCATTTTAATTGAGTTTCATCATGTTATACGAAGAAAATCCTCAAGTTTACAGTAATTATAGTTTTTCCATATTGTAAACCGTTATCGTTTAATATGAGTTAAAATTCCTTTCATCACCGTCTCAAATAGGTCTGAGTTACAGAGCTGCGCCGTGTGTCTGTTCGTAATATGTTTTTTTCACCGGTGAATTCTTCATCTTCCCATCTTACATTTCTTGATCATAAATATTTATGATTTGTAGCCCCTTTGTAAACCTTATATATATATGATTCTCATTTTTGATGAACCTAATCTGCCTCTCCACAAAACTCATCGCTTCCTCTTAACTTTAACCATTTTCTAGAAAATATCTCTCTCTGTTTCTCCAGTTTATAAAACCAGCGTCACCGGTGTCCGTCATGCAACCTTCGTATCTCTCTATCATATTAAGGTAAGCATAAGTCATACGAACCAAATTAAAATATAGAACTTCAAATCATTCAGTATGAGTTTTAGTAAACAAAACTAATAACAATAGAAACAAAGTTATACAATAAATTCAAACATTCTTATTACGGTTCCAAGAACGCCGAATCAACAGAAGTTCACTGAGTAAGGAATGCGGTGGAGACAACCTTAGCTGATGTGAGCAAATCTCTCTTCCATGCAACTATAGAACAACTATAATTTCACAAACTGACACACTAAAAATACAATAAGACCAAGAATTGCAAGAGTTTGTCACACTGCTGAAGACGACGAGGAGAAACAAAAAAGGGGAGTAAACAGTTTCAGTTTCAGACCTAAACGGAGACTCAAGGCCCATCGAATTTCAAACCAAATCATTTAAAAGCCTAACTACTACGTTTCATTGTGTTCGAATACCACTTTTAAATTTTTAATCCACCATTCCCATTTTTAAACTACCACAAAATATTTTTAACAAATACAAAAAAAATAAATAGTTATCTCAGTCATACAGATATATAACTATATGAAATTGTAGCATTATTAAACTACAATTATATATTTTCAAAAATATGTCATGGCACATTACAAAAAAAAAAAAACTATATTTATTTTTGGATAACAAAATTATTTCTTCTTCGTTTCCATATTAGAGTTGTATATTAACAAATACCTATGTTCGGCTACATATGGTCATTAAATCGCTAATAACGTTAAGATCCGATTTAATCGTACAAAAAATGTAGAAATATGAACACATATGAATTCCACTTTCTCACTTCAGTACATTAAATTATATTTCTTTGTATAATTTTTTTAAAAAAAATCTTGATATTTTTAAAAAATGTCACTATTTAACAAGAATATACTACCAACGTATAAATTAGAAAATAAATCACCCATCCTGGTCATGAAAGCACTAGTAATACAAATACTCAGAAAAATCATTACTAAAATAATATATGAATATTTCAAATATGAATTCTCACTCATTCGTATATCAACGCAATTCAATCGAGTTTTTGGTTAAACCCCGAACAAAAATAAATGTCCCAAAAACAACAAAACCCATCCCATAAAGCATCACAACCCTAGGGTCATAATTGTTTCTGGCCCCGCGCCTACGCGGGGGCTATAAACCTAGTCTATATAATGAAGCACTTTTGCCTCTCATAAGAGAATCTACGTCATCAAAATTTTATGTGGGTCCTATAAGTTTTTAAAAAGTTTCAGACTTAAAAATTTGATTATTCCAAAAAAATTAATGTCCTCTATTAATTAAAGAGAAAATTGCTAGAATACCACACACAAATTGGTATATGATTAGAATAATATACATTTTCTAAAAATTACTAGAATGTTTTTGGACTCCTAGTAAATTACAATAAACACCATTGTTTAATTTTGTAACTGTTGATACAAATTTTAATTATTAAATTCACATCACTAATTAGGAAATCCACGTCACTAATTTGTGTCATCAATAGTGACACTGAAAAATCAACGGTCCCATATATCCGGTAAATAGAAAAAAGTCATATCGTCACTTCTTCGTCACAACTTTCGTTAAACCCTAACCGAGTACGAAATCATCTTCGTCACAACTAATACTCACGGCGTCGGCCTTGTTAAACCCTAACCGTCTCAGTTATCATCTTTGTCAACCTCCTTAAACCCTAATCGTCTCCGTTATCATCTTCGTCGACGTCCCCTTCTTCGCAAAAGTTTCTACGCAATCGTATCTTCGACATCATCTTCTCTGGTATGTTGTGGCTGAGTTTGATTTATATTGTGACCGAGTTTGATTTACGAGGTTTCTGAGTTATAGATTATGTTGTAACTGAGTTATTGTATAGTGTGGCTGAGTTGAGTTTGATTTACACTGTGAAAATATAGTTTTCCATTTCGACTGAGTTATAGATTATGTTGTGGCTGAGTTATTGATTATGATCCGGCTGAGTAATTGATTATACTGTGGCTGAGTTATATATTATGTTTTGGCTGAGTTATTTATTATACTGTGGCTGAGTTATAGATTATGTTGTGACTGAGTTATTGATTATGTTGTGGCTGAGTTTTGTTTCTAATACGACTGCGTTATATGGTGGCTGGGTTATTTATTATGTTGTGGCTGAGTTTTGTTTCTATTGCGGCTGATTTATATATATGTGTTTTAGGATCAGATGGCTATTTCTGAAGATCAAGCACGGGATTATCCTCCACAACTTTACGCTGAAGGGGCTTCTAATCTAGAAATAAAGAGATTAATCACAGTTTGCAGATGGGAGATTTCCCTAACATCAGAGAAGCAATAGGACGGGATGTGTGGGATCACCTGATGCAGGGTCCTCTTGGAATTATTGTTAAGCTAGCTGAACGCAAAAGCGTGTGGTCTGGTAGGACTGTACACTATCTACTATGTCGACAGCTTCGAGTATATAAGAAGGAGATTTGGAGTCTAGTTGGTGATGAACCTATCAGGTTTAGCTTACACGAATTTGGTGAGATCACTAGGTTAAACATAGATCTAGTGCCAACAGAAAGTTTTGAACATGACCAATACAAAATGTTTTGGGAGGAGTTGAATATGCCGCTTGGGGTGGGACCAAAGTTAGATGAACTGAGGGAAGCATTAGAGGTATTACCGGCATGGAGTTTTGAAAAGCGTAAATGGTTTGGGTTGTTACTTCTTCAAGCGATGGGACTTTATGCTTTGAATCATAATGCTAGGATACCGTTTGAAAGTGCAAAAAGAGTATTCGACGATGAAACCATGATGACATATCCATGGGGTCGGACTGCATATGAAGTTCTTGTTGACTCTATTAAGATGTTGAATCCACAAGGAAGGACATACACCATAAGCGGTCTGAAGGACGTGTTACTGGTTTGGGCGTATGAATCTATCATTTGTCTGGGAGAGCATTTTGGGAGAGTGGTCAATGAGCAAGAAGTTCCGCTTTTTCGATGGGGGTGGAAAGCGTACACGTCAAGTTTTGATACTGTCATTACTGAGGAGATTAGAGAACATGGCGAGGTAAGGTGTCAACTGATTTATTATTTATTTGTTGGCTGAGTTATAAGTACTTATGTATTAAGTGGCTGGGTTTTTTTATATTAGTTATTTGATGGCTGAGTTCGTATCTATATAGTGGCTGAGTTATTAGTTATTTTATGGCTGAGTTATTAGTTGTTTTATGAACACATAAAATAGTATTAAAGCACCAAAAATCCAGCCACCATACATATAAACACTATCTCAGCCTCTTGGTATGTATATAGTGGCTGGGTTTTTTTGGTATTAGTTATTTGATGGTTGAGATAGTGTTTATATGGTTGCTGGGTTTTTGGTACTTTGTGGCTGAGTTATTAGTTTTTTAATGGCTGAGTTATTTATTGTTTTGTGTCTGAGTTATTAGTACTTTGATAGCTGAGTTATTATGTATTTGATGGCTGATTTTGTAGGTGTGCGTGAGAAAAATGCTTATGACTGACTCCGTGGAAGAGATGTTTTCTCAGTGGCCGGATGAAGCAGATGACACACAACTCGTTAACTTGATAACATACATATATACAGGTCGGTTTGTTAGAGATTTTCGGGGAACACAGATGAAACACAAACAAATATAGGCTGGTGTTTCGTCAAGGGCCGAGCCACCCATTAAGAAGCAGAAGAAAGTGAGCAGCATTATTGAGGATGAAGTTGTTGTGGAGAAGGGTGATTGCGAGAAGGAATATATTGGGAACAATCCGGTATTGTTGAGCATAATGTATTCTCTGGAAAAACATTTCCTCAAAATAAGACAACTACAATAATAGATCCAAAAAGTTTGAAGTGTGGTTAAGCAGATGTGAGTCCAGAGATATCGAGTCCAGAGATATGAACATTTCTGATTTAGTCAGATTTGCAGTGGAGGAGTACTTCTCTAAAATTCCTGACCAATCTTTACTGTTGCCATCACCATCACCGCCACCACCACCGCCGAAGTCTTTTCTGCAGCACTCTGTCAATAGTTCATCTGCTAAGGTCTCTGTCAATAGT